GGGGGGGGCCCTGTCCCCCTCCACACCCCACAGCTGGGCCCCTGCTCCAGTTTAGGGTGGGCGGCAGCATCTCCCCTGGGGGGACCACCACCCACCTCGGCCCGGCTGCCGCTGCATGCCACCAGCCAGCACGGCCACGCCAGCCCCTCCACCGCGGAGCCTGCAGCGTCCCACAGCGTCCCAGCACCGCTACAACCACCGTCCTCGGCTCCACCAAACTGAATCCTTCCAGGAAAGGGTTTATTCAAACAGCCCAGAACACAGCCATGTTTTTTTTAAAAAAAAAAACCATAAAAAAATTCAAAGAACACTTTAATTTGCTGTTGGAAAAAATCAAAGAATGAACTTGTGAAGAAACAAACATGTTTAGGAGAAAAAAACCCAACCGAAACTTACAGGCAGTTGCCTCCCAAATGTAGAAAACCCACTTCTGCCCCTGAATGTGAGGGAAATCACCCCACCCGCACTGAGACACCCCAGGGAGGGCCCGAAGCTGTGGGACAGAGGTGGGACAGGGGACAGGACACCTTGCAGAACGTCCTCCCCCCCGTCACCAGGGGAGAGGAGAGGCTCTGCTCCAGCCTGACAGAGTTGGAAGCTGCCAGAGCCCGGGCTGGGGTCTTTCAGGTCACAGACAATCCTCAGAGTAACTCAAAGCAATAATCTTTCCTAAAGGATTAACCCAGCCTGAGCACACCAGGCACTAATGATTTTAATGCTTTCCCTGATGAACAGCAGACAACTACGTCAGCACAGCTTGTTCTGGGAGAGCCGTGAGGATGGAGCCGGAGGAGATGCCGGGTTTTTCCTGAGGCTCCTCCAGGGACACCCCAGCTTCTGCTCCCACTCCGAACCAGCAGCACGACCCAACACTCTTCCAACCTCTAAAATCAGAACCACTCTCTGCACTGCTCATTTTCAACATCATGAAACCCACTATGGTGGGTTGTGCACATGTTTTCTTCAAATATTTTTTGCTCTAAAAAACAAATGTAAGCTATTGGCCAGGGAGAAGAAAGCTCATCTTGGGCAACTTCATTGCTATAATAAGCTTCAGATGTGTCAAAACACATATCCACATCTTGACACATTCCACAGACACAGCAGCACATTGTGGACAGTTTATTCTAGCAAATTTTGCTTGTTCAGGTTTTTGGTAGTTTTTTTGGGGTTTTTTTTAATGTTCAGCAGCAGAGGTGATCAAAGGTTACAGCAGAGTCGCACAAGAACTACAGCACCTCAGCCTCGCAGGGGGGGTCACTGAAGGGGACGTTCCCGCTCCTGCCATGTCACACAGCACAGCGAGAGGTGGCTTACAAGGACTCCACAGGATCTTTCACCCTCAGGAACATGTACACCACTCCTGTGTACGAGAAATCTTTCCAGCAGATTAGACTTACCCAACTCCTAATCACTACTACCCTGCTGAGAAGCAATTTCAAAATTCTAAGGAGTTCTCCTTCCTGCAGGAAAAAGCTCATTAAAAGAGCTGATGTAGCCATCCCTTAATTTTTGGTAATGGCAGCACAGAGGTTCCCTGCTCAGTCATCCTTGATTCTGGAGCTGAAAAGGGAAAGGGTCTGTGTCCAAGAGGAAGCCTCTGGAGTCCTCCTGTTCCACATCAGAGGAGTAGGCTTCATACTGGTCTCAGGCGTGGTTCTTCCTCCTCCTCATGGTTTGGTGGCTGCTGGGGCATTTCTTCGTCTCTTGTGTCTTGCTTGTCTCTCTCTGCCTGAAGCCAGCTCTGAGGAGCTATCATTTTCTTTGGCCCATAGGGTGGAGGCCCAATCAAAGCTTCAATGTCATCATAATTTATCACTTCTTTCTCCAGGAGGGCATGAGACAGCTAGAAAGAGTAAATAAGGCATAATGAGGCGCAGGCGTTCGAAAACGACCTCTCTGAACTGATCTGAACTCTCCCTGCCAGCTCAGCAGCTGGAGGCAGCGCGTGCTGCAGCCCACGAGGAGCAGCCCCCTGGCCACCACACCATGGGTGGGGGGACCCGAGCGCCTGCTGGAGCCAGGACAAACTTCTCCAAGCTGCCGGCTGCCTTCACAAGAGTGTGTTTGGCCAGAATATGACTAGAAGCAGTAAAGCTTCAGGGAATGATTCTGCGAGTTGGAACTGCAGGAACAATTAGAGACGTGCCTTTCCTGCCACTGTCGCTGCACCTGTAGCTCTAAGATGCCAAAGCGGCAGCAAATGAGAGCAGTCAGACCCGCGCCCCTCCCCGTACACACAGCGCTAAGAAAGAGCCGTCTGCTCCCGCAGGCAGGGGCTGGAGGTCGTCACAAGCTCCTCTCCAGAAAAAGCTGAGCTCTCCGGCCACTCTGCCAGCAGAAGGACAGCGCTTGAGCAGCAGGTGGTTGTCAAGCAGCTCAGTTCTGCTGACAAGATGCGACACGCTGGCCTGACAACTGAAACATTTACTCTGTAGGTAGTTTGGCTGAACTTAAAAGTTTTTCTGTGATGAGCCTCTAGCAAACATCTGATTGCTGTTAAATGAAAGCATCGGAACAGAGGAGGCCTGCAGAGAGGAGACCCTCTCACCACGCCTGCCTTCAGAGCACTGTCCCGGGGCCGGGGCTGCGGTACGGCCAACAGCAGGGTGTCCGAGCCAGCAAGCTCTGACTACCTTACCGTGCACAGGAGGCCTGCAGTTGCATAGCTGAAGGGTTTCTTTAGTTGTTTAAAAACAGGATTTAAGGAAAAGGATTGTCTTGTTTGCAAAGCATGCAACACTAAGTTGACTCCTGGTCATTCTGGATGTTAGGGACTGGATTTCTGAAGGAAAGATCAAGTAGATACGTGGGGTGCTGTGACCTAAGTGTGGCTCAGTCTGGAGTGATAGGTACAGGGCTCCTGGCAGAGAGGTGGGGACATGCCCGGGTGACTGGCTGGGGGACTGTCAGAACACAAAGGGGAAGAGGCAAAGCTGTACCTCTGCAACAAGGATTCCTTGGTACAGGAGGTATCAAGGAGCTGGCAGGTGAAAACTGCCTGGAGTCACCAGAAAGCATCAACCAGCACCAGTCAGACAGGTCCCATATTCTATCACCAAAGCCAGAAACCGTCCATCTGATTCCTGTGGATCTGCAGGACCCGGAAGGATGAGCTGTTCCTGCCTCCACAGGCTTCACAAAAAGGGTCACCGTCTGCTCTCCAGGAAATCGCACCGCCAAGAGGCTAGCGGAGAAGCGCAGGGAGGGACACAAATCTGAGCTTTGATGGCTTCCACAGAGCAGCACTCCTACTCCTCTACCCTGCAAATACCAGCTGGTGTCAGGAGGCAGACTACTTGCTGTTGGAAAAGGCACACATTGCTCCCTGTGCCTGCTCCTAATCTGGGGGATATGCACCAAACAGTCACTTGTTCACGACACGAGCCCCAGCACTCCCACTACAAGACTTTCTAGGACCAGAGACACTGCCACAGCTGAGCTACAGAGCACAGAAAGCAGCAAGGCAAAAAAGCCAGTTAAAAAACCCAAAACCCACAAACAACCCCCCCCCCCC